AGGCAAGCGCTCATTGTGTAGAGTCGGCACTAAACATGGCACACCCAAGGTTCTAGAGGTCGCCCCTGCCTCCATGGACGCTGAAGGATAAATCGGAGATTGCTGTTGAGCCACTAGCAGATCCGTCAGCTGAGCCGCCAGCTCCGCCTCACGCTGTGCTCTGCCCTGGTCTACCAAAATCTGAGCATTTGTGCCGACATGCGGCGGGTCAGGCCTGCGAGGCTGGTTGTGGTGCCGCTCGCTGCTTGACACGGCCGGTTCATTAATGTGCCTACTATAACTCCTTCTCGGACAAGGTGTTGAGTGGATACAATCACGACTATACGAATAAGACGCATGCTGGGCCACAGCCGTCTGAAGAAGCTCTCCTGCTGGTGACTCATCCTGAGCTGGGAGAGCCACCAGCCGTGTTGCTGCAGCTATCATGTTATCCAAGGGGTTAGAAAAATGCCCCGGAGGCGTGGGAACATGCTGAGGAGGGTCATGTTCAAATGCGACTGAACTGGTTCTTCGGCCGCTGGCGCCTCAGCGGTCCGATTTGCCCCGGGCGGATTACTGGGTCCTGCCCCAGGCGTGTTGAAAAGATTCCTCGCAACGTAAGTCAGGGGTAGCCGGCTTACATGCCTTCTGCGGAAAATAGCGTTTGACGCATCCATGTCCAAGCTTAAACGCAAGCTCTCCGCTCGAAGCCGTTCCGCTTCCCTCTGCAAGGCGGTCCACTCCGTTGCCATCCCGGTGTTTTCTGCATTTAACTCCTCCTTGGCTTGTGCTATCTCGTCACGCAATTTTGTAACCTCCACATTATGTTGAGCTTGATTTGTCAGGTTAACCTCCGCCGTTAACAACGTTGTTAGAGCATCCAAAAGATCAGACAAAACTTGAGCCGGTGGGCACACAGGTCCGGCTCCAGAACCCGTCGCCGCTGCTGACCCGGAGTTCATTGCCGTTGCAGTCGTAGAACCCTATGATGGCTGTCTACCGGCCATGAAGACTGTGACCTGGTGTGGCGGCTCGTAGGGGTCCGGAATACCGTCGCCATCGGAACAGCCCTCAAGCCCGCCATCCTGAACCTGGTAGATGGAGTTGGTCTCACCAGCGGAAATAACCATCTCTCCACCAGATTCACATCCTCCTTCTAGTTCCGCTCCATGAACGAAACCGACAAAAACATGCTTTGGGGCGGCTTTAGCCTTGGCGGGTCGCGTGCGCTGAGCCGACTCGACGATGTCGGTGCAGATGTCTGGCTCAGCTTCTGACTCACCGATCTTGCCGATGAAGACATGAATTCCGCCAAAGGGGACCCGGTACCCATACTCAATTGAGTTGGCCTCGAGGCCCCAGCCCTCGTCGTTGATGTAGAGCTTGCCGTGACGACTCTTGGTCATTTGTCCCACGGCGTACCCCTTGAGCCCTGTGAAGTTGGCCTCCAAGAACTTGAAACCACCGCGCGTTGGCCCCGCGGTGGGCGCCAACTGTCGTGGAATTATCACGTCAGATGTCCTAGCTTAAGGACTTAGGTGTGGAGTCATCGCAATGTAGTTAGCTTGAAGGGGTTAAACAGGAAAAGGGACATAGAGAGTCTATATTGGTTCAGCCCCTCGCGGTGGAGGTAACAGACTAATCCAGTGTAGGGTGGTTATTGCTTGGGTTTTGATTACCAGGGAGCGAATACGCTTGACCTAGTTCTCGATCTCTTTCTTTCCTGCCCTAACTAGCCGCTGGGTCGTCCCTTTATATACACAAGTTAACGGCCGACGGCTTACAGAGTCCCGACCGGCTCATAGACAACGTGTCCGGCTTGGTGACTAACTACGCCTACCTTACAATACAAGTTATCCTCATGGCGGTTCAACCTTCTGGGCCCTAAGTCGCCTCTGGGTCTTGGACCGTCAGCGGGGTTCTTATGACCCGCCCCCTTCATGGGTTATCGCTAGTAGTATGACCCGACCCCTCATGGGCGGTTCATACCTGGTAGTTATATCCCCAACATTAGGCCCCAGGTTGATTTGAACTTGTTCATATCAATCTTCAACACCTGAGTTGTAAACCTGCACCACCTGTTGTAACCCGCCATGACGGCATCTCTTGGAATCCTCTTAAACCGCCATGACGTCATTTTAGCTTAATTGTGCACTGGGCTCAAAGCATCTTAACTGATCCTTATCTTAATAAACATCCCGAAAATTGAGGCGTCCCTATAGCCATGCGGTGATTTTAGTCTCCTCGATTCTCGTGCATGCCTTGTGCTCACCTCCCTTATAAATAGGTACGAGGGTCTCTCTCATTTTTTCCCCTGCTTCCTTCTTCGTCTTCCTCCTCCTCTCAGTCGCACGGGCGCTCGTACTCCACTGTCGCGACCTCCAACCGCTGCACCAACTCAGGCCGCCACATCACCCTGACCAGACCAGAGAGCTCCAGTGTGCCATCGCCGATCCTTATCGCATGTAAGAACTTTTTTTGATTATTCTCTTTGCCAAACAAACACATCTTTCTCTCCATGGATACTCCCCATTCCTACACCACCACCACC